ACATCCACCATCTTCTTGCTTCGTCTTCTAGCATAAAGGTGGCTAGAAGCACTCTCTGTGTCTCCGAACACGGGAACACTTCAAACAGTTTTTCGATATCGAAGACCCAAGCTTCAGCTTTCAAAGGATCTAATCCACCATGGAATTGTGGTGGTTTCATTTTCTTGAACTCTTTGGTGAGAGCTATGATTCGGTCATCATTTTGATTATCTGGCACAGGAGGTGCCGGAGGCGGAGGTGAAGGATGTGGCTGCTGCCACTGTTGTTGCCATTCCTGTTGTTGCCTCAATGTCTCTGCCATTTCCTGAATTAGTCTTTCCATTCTATCTAGTCTGGCTACAGAAGATTCCTCTATCTCATCACCTCTTGTTCTCACCATCTGATTAAACTTGCATTATACATTATACAAAAGGTACACAGGTATGCATATACTAAAGAGCATACATAATCAAATAATTTGAAATGCAAGCAGTTTACAAACTTATAACACATAGTTGTTCACATTTAACAGTTAAGCGTATTCTTGATGCTTTCAGATTCATACTTATCACATGAATGCATCCTAGATCTTTTCTAGACGCTTATTGCTCTTTTGGACAAGTGTGTGAGTTATTAACTCGTGCTCTGATACCACTCTGTCACGATCCGAACCCCTCTATGGGTTAAGGCCATAACCGGCTAGTAATCGCGAGATTACCTACGGCCTCAATGTCAAATAAAACAAAACTCATCAGAGTAAAGGGACCAAACAGAAGCAAAATTAAAACTTTGTCCATAAAGTTGTGCTTATATGCATACCATAACATTCCAAACATTTATATGTTAATAACTCACATCAAAATATGTACTAACACAGAACACAGTACATACAAGATCATACAAGTTTAAGTCAGTCGAACCCAAGACTTATATACAAAAGTAGTCCAATGCTTTCGCTAACGTAACAAAACTATGAACAAAGGACAAAGGCGAAGACAGTCTCGTGCGTGAGACTTTTGGGCTGACTCCTCAAAACTTTGGCTGTTTCTCACAATTTCACCGAGGCTGGTTCTGGACATCCCTTGGCTCACCTACATATACATGAATGAGCATGAGCGAAAGCCCAGTGAATAATATCGAATAAAAAAGATACATAAGCAATCTTTGAAGCAGTTACAGCAGACGGCCTTTGGCCCAATCACTTGTATCAATCAGCCTTCGGCCCAATCATTTATGTCAATCGGCCTTCGGCCCAATCATTCATGTCAATCGGCCTTCGGCCTAATCATTTATGTCAATTGGCCTTTGGCCCAATCATTCATGTCAATCGGCCTTCGGCCCAATTATTCATGTCAATTGGCCTTTGGCCCAATCATTTATGTCAATCGTTATCCACCATTCAAATTAATGAACTTACAAAACTTACATAGAAGTAAACAATTAGACAACAACACATTTCAAATATCTTGTTAAGATATTACTCACAGTGATCGGCTTGTGGATTAGCCCTGGAGCTTGACCCTACACATTCTATGAACATAAAAAGGTCACAAACAATTCGATCCGTTCTAAATTCACATTTTCCTCTTTAGGCCTCATTCTTATCTGTTTAACTCAATTACAATGCTCAATGGATGCCTAAGAGTACTTGGAAGTGAAAGAGAATAGAAAATGAAACACAGAATGTCTTTTCAAAATTTCAGAAAACAGGGTCCCCGCTCGAGCGTGGACTTCTCCGCTCGAGCGGACCCTTGAGGCTTGCAAAAGTACTGGATGCATCAAAATTACGCTCGATCGCGAACTATGGCGCTCGAGCGGAAGGCCTCTCTACATGGCTCCCCGCTAGAGCGTAAACTTCCCCGCTTGAGCGGAAACCATGTCTGCAGAAAAATACTGGGAAAACAAAATTCACGCTCGAGCGGCAGTTTCCCTGCTCGAGCGGACATCAAATTTTCTGGGTTTTCCAGAACATGTTCTTAAGCTCCAATTCGACATTCAACGAACATTTCTTGCATGTAATAGCTCAAACTTCAAATACACTTGTACTAACATGGTGTTAACCCCAAATTACAACCCAATGAAGCTCAATTTCACAAATAAATCACATGCATGTCCCAATCTTCACCAAATTCACTTTCAACATAACAATTTCATACATTCAAGCTCATACCTCTTATGAATGGTACATGCATGTGAGATATAACTTCCATTTCAACTCAAATTGTACAAATGGTGATCACAAGCATGGATTCTAGCTACAATTTTACATGGATCATATTTTTCATGCTCAATTATGCAAATTCATGATTATTATGCACATGCGTGCATTCCATGACTTCAAATACAACAAAATCCACCCAATTTCCTTATGATCAAACTAACTCATGTTCTTGACCATTAATCAAACGTGAATTCACAATTTACAAACAAAAAATCCATGAGTCAATGGTTGGTTACTCACTTAGGAGCCTTGATTCTCATAATTGTGGCCAAGTCTTGCACCTAGCCTTCCCAATTCATAAATTATAAGCCAAAATACACCCAGATGCCTCCTTTCCCTCTCAAGGTCGGCTCTCTCTCTTTTCTAAGACACAAATTCTAATTTTTGAGCTCAAGTGAGTGAATTCGGTGTAGTGCCTTTCCTTACATAAGTTCCACTAATTCCAATTTATTAATATAAAACAATTGGACACTTAATTCGTTAATTTAATCTAATTAATTTGATCCGAATCAATTTTCAATTAAATTTTACCGTAGGTTCTAAAAATTACGCTAATCACAATGGCGTAATCAATTTCGGGTTCTGTGGCCGATAAGGCTTTCAATTTAATTTTCAAAGCAGATAATCAAACAGATATTCCTACAGTGAACAGATAGAAATTCAAAACCACATATTTTCACATAATGGCATCCAAAATCATATCAAACACATAATCATATTCATATTAAGGACCGATTAACATAATAAGGGACAGGGTTATCACAATAATAGTGTGTAAAGAGTATTTTATATTTTTATATATGAAATCTTTGAATGGTTAGAATACACTCCCATATTGTTCTTGATGGTCTTTTCATTTGAGGATATTATTAAAATATATAAATTTAACCTGATAATGATATGTACTGAGAGGATTAGTAGTATGTAAATAGAATTTTTCCTAATCTAATTTTTGGGTGCAAATAGAGCCTTTCCATATATATTGTAAAGGGAAAATTAGTCTAGGGTCCCTCTCCCACTTTTCGTAATGGAAGAGATCCACAAAATTATTTTTTGATGTCTAAGGTCCCTAAACATGTATCAGAGAAATTTGATTCTTTGTCTCTCCTCTTTTACTGCAGAGCAGCACTTCCTCTCTCTCTCTCTCTCCGAAACCCTAGAGAGAAGAGGTGGGTAAAGCAGCACTTCCTCTCTCTCACTTTCTCTCCTCTGTATTCCCTCTCTCTTTTCCTCGTCTTTTTCTCTATCTATTTGTTGATTTCACAAGCCCATTTTTTTTCTTCTCTCCCAAATCCTCAACAAAATGCCAAATCAAACACTAAAAATACACAGTCAATCGATCTGTATGTGTTTGAGATTACCATTACACTATAGCACTCATTCTCAAATCTGATGAGTGAGTGATATATATACATATATATATATATATAGAGAGAGAGAGAGAGAATACAAAGGAGAGAGAGAGAGAGAAGCGATGATGGCAACCGGAGCTGCTGGAGGAGGCGGCGAATGCAAAGTTGCGGGAGATTTTGTTGTAGATGAAGATCTGGTGCAGATTTGGTGCAATTGAGGCGACGGCGATTCACGGCGACGGCTGAGCTTCGCTGATCTGACTTTGTCCCCTTGCTGCGCTGGTGACCCTGGTAGAGCATTTGTTGTTGGGCTTAACCCACACCACGACGTATGGTTTCAATCTTCCGTAATGCTAGTTCACGTTCTTCAGATCCTTCACCGACGTCACGTTCATCTCCATTTCGTAATGGCAAGCCATTGGAAAGAAGGGATCGGTGATTGATCCGGATAAGCTGATGATTGAAATGGGGCAATGAGGTTTTGAGGAAGATGATCAAACCCAGTGAAATTTATTGAGACAAGTCAGTGAAATTTCAAAAAAACAAACTTAGAGAAATATGTTTAATATATATATATGTTGCTATTTGTTGCTTATTCACTCAATGAAAATGATCTTCTCTCTCTGCTTTGAACTGAAATTTCTCTGGATTGGTGAAGAGAAATTTTCTTGTTTGAACTGAAATTTCTCTGGGTTGGTCCAGAGAAATTCTCGGGTTTAAACTTAATTTTCTTTGGATTGGTCTAGAGAAATTTTATGGTTTGAACTGAAATTTCTCTGGGTTGATCCAGAGAAATTCTCTAGTTTGGATTGAACTACTCCTCAATATTGTCCAAAGAAATTTGGCAACCTCTTCTTTTCCAACTTTCGTTGGATTTCCAGCAAGAGCAAAGGTTGCTTGAAGAAAGGGTTGTTACGTTGTTTGGAGAAATTTTGAAAATTTCTCTGGAAAGTCCAGAAGAATTTCTCTAGACCAATTTTCTCTGTGACGTGAATTTTCTCTGGAGTAATTTTCTCTGGACCAATTTTTTCTGGATCAACTTGAGAGACCTTAGACATTATGAAAATATTAGATGTCCTTTATACTATAAAATCTTAATACAAGGGACCTTAAAAAAAAAAACCCCATTGTAAAATAGTTGTATAGTTACTAAAATACTCTTCTTTGGTAGTTTTGTTTAACAGAAATAAACTGATGACTGAGATTGGGACAAAAGTAAAAATTTAAGATACAAATTGAAAAGATTGAAAAATCTATAATTTAATTTGTTATTACAATTAAATTAAATTAAATTATTATTAGAATTAAACTCTTAATTTTTATTTTATTTTTTAATTTCTCCCAAAATTTTTTGTACTCCCATATTTGTTTTCTCTGTCATTTGCTTAGGCATTTATATCAATTTTCTTTTCAAACATCAATAAGAAGCATCTTTTTTCCCTCCGCAGCAGCCTCTCCGGCAACAATTTTAATGGTCTAATCAAGCCAGAATTGGGTGCTCTTCCATCTCTACAAGGGTTGTAAGTGTGACGGCCTCTCTCTCTTTGCACAACTGACAGGTTTTATTAGATTTAACACAACAGTGAGTCCGTCCCGGATTTAGATATGTGTAGAATGAATAAGAAAACAATAATAGTAACCCATCAATTTCAGCTCGTTCAAACTTATTATATTAAATGTTTTTATATGTTGAATATATAATAAATTTTATATGTTATTTATTATGTAAATGTTCAATACATTTATTTTTGTAAAAAGAACAAAAAAATATACCAAAAATAAATTAAATTATTGAATTAAATTAAATTTGAGCAATGAAATTCTTAAGGAATTAAAATATTCAATTTTTTATGTAAGAACATTTATAATTTGATCAACCTTAATAATTTGAACAAAATTGTTCTGTTCAAATAAAAATAATTAAGCATCGTGTAAAAGTTCAACTCTGGTTATCCGAATACGTGATGAACAAAGTTGTCTTTCCAATGACTATATGAACGAGATAAACAAAAAATTAAAAAGCATAGTAAACTGACCTTTTCATTTTGCATTGTTCGAAATCAACAATCTCAGTGTCATTTATGGTATGCAAATATTCAAAACTAATTAATTTTAATGTTTTTAAACCTTAAATCTTTAAAATCAATTCATTTCAATAGTCTTAAATCCTAAAATCAATTGATTTCAATATTTTTAAACCCTAAAATCTTTAAAATTAATTTATTTTGGATGTTTTATTTTAGATGTTTATATGTCTATGTGTGATAATAGTGTGTAAAGAATATTTTATGTTTTTATATATGAAATCTTTGAATGGTTAAAATATACTCTCATATTTTTCTTAATGGTCTTCTTATTTGAGGATATTATTAAAATATATAAATTTAAGGAAAATTTACCCATAAGTCCTAGTTTTTGAAAAGTTGAACCATTTAGTTCTAAAAGTTTTCTTATGCTCCATTTAGTCCCATTTGCACATCAATCTAATGTTCGAAACATTAATATGATGTTTGGAATTTAATGTTCGAAACATTAATCTGATGTTCGAAATCTAATGTTTGAAACATTAATCTGATGCTTGAAACATTGTAATGGGACCTTTCAATCTATAAGAAAACTTTTAGGACTAAACAGTGTATAAGTTATTAATTTGGGATTTATTGGTGCATCCCCCTAAATTTAATCTGTTAATGGTTAGCAGTGTGTAAATAGAATTTTTTTCCAATCTAATTTTTGGGTGCAAATAGAGCCTTCCCATATATATTGTAAAATAGTTGTATAATTACTAAAATACTCTTTTTGGGTAGTTTTGTTTAAGAGAAATAAACTGATGATTGAGATTGGGAAAAAATTAAAAATTTAAGATTTAAATTGAAAAAATTTAAAAATCTATAATTTAATTTATTATTAGAATTAAACTCTCAATTTTTTTATTTTTTTTTTAAAAATTTTTCCGAGAATTTATATCATGTTTGTTTTCTCTGTCATCTGCTTAGGCATATATCAATTTTCTTTTCAAACATCAATAGCAAGCATCTTTTTTCCCTCCGCAGAGGCCTCTCCGACAACAATTTTAATGGTCCAATCCCGCCAGAATTGGGTGCTCTTCCATCTCTGCAAGCGTTGTAAGTGTGACGGCTTCCCCCCTCCCCTCTCTCTCTCTCTATCTGCAGAACTGACACAGGTTTTATTAGGTTTAACACAACACAACAATAAGTCTGTCCCAGATTTGGATATGTGTAGAATGAATATGAACACACATTGATGTTTCTGGGTAAATTTTTAGTATTGCTCTTAACACAATAATAGTAATCCATCAATGATATGAACCCACCCTTTTTAACTCATAATTTATCTCAAATCTATTGATTGGTTTTTTTGGGTAGTGTTGTGGATGGTAATATGATGGTCTATTGTTCTGTTGTTATTGTTAACAAATTACAGGCTTCTAGGTGGTAATTTATTGTCAGGACAGATACCTTCTCAACTGGGGAGCCTTTCTAACCTTACGATTCTGTAAAACTCTATTGATCCTGTTTCGTATATGATTTATTTATTGTTAGTGAACTATTCTATTCTCAGTATTTTATTTTATTTTATTTATTATTTTTGTAGGGATTTCTCTGATAATGAGCTCTCAGGGGAACTTCCCGATGAGCTAGGACATCTCACAAATCTTGAATTTCTGTAAGCCTCCCTTTGATGACTATTTGGTTACCAGAGTAAACAGACCAATTTGGCTTTTCCATCTTAATTCAAAATTATTGGTTCTTAAATTATGGGCATGTCCTTCAAATCCATTAATTTATATGGAACTACACTTTAAATTCTAAATGTTAAATTTTTTTATAAATATGGATTTGCTTTATATTTGATTCTTTACGCAATGTAGAAGACCTTCTCAAATTCTATTACATCATTTACTTGTAAAATTCCTTATATTAAAGATTAATAAAAGTATTTAATTGTTGAAATCTAAAAAATACATGTCACAAAACTGATAGATTTATTTACAAATATTTCTCTATATTTTGGACCCTATTTGTTCATTTGAATTATTTGTTTATTTGTTTATTTTTTATTTTAAGGGCACTCAGGCCATAAATTCAATTTTCATACTTATTTGGTTAAACTCTAATGGCTATTAGCACCCAATCAAAACTTTGGACCCCACCTACAAAATTCAAAAATCCTAAAAATTCGATGATGCTCTAAATGTACCCCAAAAATGGTATACATGGAAACTCTTGGGAACAACAATTTTAACTAGTGAAAATAATGAAGATTAGGAAAACGAAGAAATACATTTCAACTGCAACTAGAGAGTACATTTCATTACTCGTACTGTTGTAACAATCGTGTTAAAGCTTTTGATTTCAGGTGGCTAGCGAATAATAATTTTCGTGGAAATTTGAGTCAACGATTTCATCAACTTAAAAACATGATATATTTGTAAGTGGATGTTGATATTACATTTCTTGTTTCACTTTTGTTACTAAGCACCATCTCTTTTAAGTTCATTCATTTATCTTTTGTAGTGACATCCGCGGGAATAACTTCAATGGACAAATACCTGCTTTCATAGCCCAATGGAAAGATATTGAGGAATTGTAAGCATTGAGTTGAGCTAGTCTAATTAAGCTAGCCATGTATGCACCATGGAAGTTTGATTCCTATTTTTCACGTTCGACTTTTGATCTTCATAGGTACCTCATGGGGAACAATTTTGAATGGCCTGTTAGTCATGGAGTGTTCCAATCATTGAAGAATCTTAGAATCTTGTAATTTTTTACCCCTGGCTGAGGCCATATATTTTGTTTCCTCACTCAAGTTATTTTGATTACAACTTGCTGTTTTAAATTCCCATTCCATTTCTTTGTTCAGGCAGCTTGCTGACATAACTGGAAGTCCCAGAGATTTCCCCATTGTCAAAAATCAGTCATTGACACACCTGTGAGCCTCTCATTATGTATTAACACAATAAAATTATATCTGCTGCTTTCATTGTAATGTGAACTTTGGCGTCTAATCAAAATAATGATGGAAAAATGGTATTTTAGTTATTAAACTCAATGGAAACAGGCATTTTAGACATTTTTGTGCACCTATTAAGAGGCCTGGACTTCCTGATGTAATTTGAAGGAGCTTGTAAACTACAGATACTGAAATCAACACTGTTCAACTTCTATGATTGACGAATGTGACATCCAATCAGGAATAAATAAGGTACAGAATCTAGGGACTTTATACCAAATAATGGAGTCACAATCAAAAGAAAATTGAATTTTTAGAGAGAGCAATTCTTAAATTGGCATACAAGAGCCGAAGATCTGAAATTTACAATATCAACATATCATAAGTTAGTTATTGAGGGATTAACCACTTATTTATAGATAATGGCTAGTTCAACCAGCAACTACTAACAAATCAACTCGCATCACTTTACGAAATAGAAGAGTGCATATCAATAAGGACCATAAAAATTTGAGCCCCAAGGCAGTTGCCCCAATATCCTAATGATTCAGTTGGCCTAACTAACTCAAATGCAGACTGATTATTTCATAGATATACAAATGCATCAATTCTCATGGACTTCTGACGCTCCATTTGTTCAAAGAAACTTCTTGACTACTCGTCCTGTATCAAATATGGTCCAAGAGATTTATGTATGAAATGGGCTCAACAATGTGCCTGAACCTATCTAACACCCTAATGTGCTCAGAAAAATATAAATAAATAAATAACACCTCTCTTATGTGAGAGGCAACTAAACAAAACAAATTAACTTGAATAGAGCCATAGAAATTAACATACACAAAACAAAGTCCACAATAGGACATAGTAGGGTTATTACAGTTTGACCCCATCAGATTTCAATTTATTACACTTCACCCAATCGGTTCGCTATTTTTGGTTCATTACGATGACGGATGATCAGATTTAGGCTATCAATTCTCCATGTCTTCTTGGATTCTGTTAGGCCCAAGAAGGGGCCCTCGGCTTTAGATGAGTGTGCTTTCTGCCATCAGAAGGGTTATTGGAAGTATCACTGTCCCAAGAAGGGACGTTCGTCTGCTCTGTCTTCTCAGCAGTCTCAGCCATCGTTTCGAGTTCCCTCACAGAGTACTTTTTTGCCTCCTACTGCTTATGTTGCATCTACTTCGGCTCCTTATCCTGACTTGGCTTCCTTGGGTGCTCAGATTGGTGAGCTTTATCATATATTGTCTACCTCCCAATCATCTTCATTTACCTCCATTGTTTCCTCTCTTTATTCAAGTTTGCTTGGGTCTTCTTCAGGTATCTCTTCGTTTGTTTGGATTTTTTATTCTGGTGCCTTTCATCATATGACTCCTCATCTCTCATTATTTCATAATTGTACTCCACCTCCCTTTCCCATTACTGTTAATGCTGCTAATGGGTCTTGTATGTCTGGTATATCTGTTGGGTCGATCCTATCATCTGCTATGTTTGCTGTCTCTATTCCATCAGTCTTATATGTTCCTCAGTTATCTATCAGCCTATTATCAATCGGTCAGCTTGATGCCTCTGGTTTCGATGTTATCTTTTCTTCTTCTATCTGTTTTGTACAGGATCGGATGTCTAAGCAGCAGATTAGGACCGGCCGTAGCGTTACAGACCTCTATGTGGTGGAGAGCTTGCATCTGTCTATGACAACCTCTTTGACTGCCTTTATGTCCCACTTGGGTTTATTTTATGACTCATAAGTCTGACTTCTACCAGATATACCATACTTTCCAGTCTATGTTCACTACATAGTTTGGGTCTACTATTAAATTGTTGTGGTCTGACTTGGGCGGGAAATACTTTAAAACTGAATTCTATGAATATTTGGACAAATTGGGTACTATTCACCAAACTTTTTGTATTGATACACCTACCCAAAATGGTCAAGCTGAGCGTAAACACCGTCATCTCTTTGAGACAGCTAGGTCTCTCCTGATCTTTGCCTCCGTTCGAGCTCCGTTTTGGGCTGAGGTAGTTCTTACTACTACTTTTCTTCTCAACCGCATGCCTACCCCCCTTCTTTGTGGTCGGTTTCCTTATGAGACTTTGTTTTCTTAACTTCCTAATTACTCCCTCTTTCGTGTGTTTGGGGTCTTCTTGTTTTGTCCTTTTACCCATAAAGATAGGACCAAACTTAGTGCCTGGTCTGTCCTATGTGTCTTTTTGGGTTATAGTCTCACTCAGAAAGGTTGCCTTTCTCGAACGTCTACCTTACTTTCAGCTTCCTCCTCTCACCGAGATACTATAGTTCAAGGTTTACTATTGTCCTCTTTTTCTTCTTTGGATTTGGTGGCCTATGCTGATTGTGATTAGGTTGGTGATGTTATTGATCACAAATCTACGTCTAGTTTCTGTATATTTCTTGGTGATTCCTTAATCACTTAGAAAAGTAAGAAACAAACTGTTGTTGTTCACTTTCCTGCCGAAATTGAGTATTGTGCTATGGCTCATGCTACTGTTGAAGTTGTCTGGCTTCATTGTCTTCTCTCTGACTTGGGTGTCCCTCAGTTTTCTCTGACCTCCCTCTATTGTGACAACCGTAGTGCTATTCAAATTGCACATAACATTGTCTTCCATGAGCGGACTAAGCACATTGAGATTGATTGTTACTTTCTTTGTCAGCATCTGTAGTCTGGCTCTATCTCGCTTCCTTTTGTCTCTTTGGCTTTGCAGCTTGCTGACTTCTTTATCAAGACTCAGACCACTGCTCGATTTTAGTTTCTTCTTAGCAAACTCTTAGTGTTTTTTGCCCAAACATCTTGAGTTTGAGCGGGGGTGTGAGAAAAATATTAGTATGGTATATATTATGTGAATATTGTTTCCTATTTAGGATTGGTTTAGGTTTTTTCTTTTCTATTTAGGATTGGTTTAGGTTTAAGATTAGGTCTAGAATTGCTATATATATCAAATGTACACATTGAAACACAATTGAATATAGAGATTCATTCAAAAATCTTACATGAATACGATGGTAGATCAGCTATTGTCTAAAAGTTTAGACTGTCATGAAATGGGCCCAACAGTAAATATCAAGATGTCTAATACCATCTTGTAATATCACTAACAAAAATGTTTTGTTTTATGGGATCTATTTGCATGTTTTATGGATGAAAGCATTCCTCCAATAATATCTACTCAGATTAAATGTTTATTTGAGGTATTTTGAATTTTAATGAATTTGTTTATTTTGTTACTTATTGCTTATTTTCTATTGCAGGGACTTAAGTTTCAACAATCTGGTTGGTGAACTTCCAACTTTTGCAAGCGACAATTTGAAATATATGTGAGTGAACTTACTTGCCAAATGCTACATATTTTTGGCATTTCATGGAAATAATGCATTTCTTTGTGGTCTTCTTAGGTTGAGAGAATCATATTTCGTATTGGGATATACTAGGGAATAACACATCGGGGTAGAGGACCAAAACAATTTACACATATGTGAGAATCTTTGCAAGTCTTGTGTGTATCCAGACTTGCACCCAAAAAGATTCTCACTGATTTGTAATTTTGTGCCCCATTTTCCACTGATAAATTATTCCCCCTAGATATATTTGAGTGCACCATTTCATCTTTCATATTGTTGCATATATGGAAGGCTCCATGTTTAAAAATGTTCCACTTTATGTTTAATAAATAAACAAATTAGGGCACTAGGCTGACTACAAGCGGATTTGTGATGGGTTTAAGGAAGAAATTGCTTCAAGGTTTATAACCAAAGAAACGTTCTGTGGTTTGTAGAAGGGGAAAAGCTTGAATTTGTTCACTCTCAAAAGTGGCAGGTTACTGGACTTTTAGATTTGGTGCAATTAGAAGGACTAGAAAGTTTATATCTTGTGGTCTTCGTTTGTTGAATTAAAGGCCAATAAGTTTGAGGATAGATTTGGCTTGGTTAGGACTTGATTTTAAAAATTAAGAAAGTTAAATTAGGATTGTTCTGTTGTTGTGAATAGTGGATAAAGTTCGTGCATAAAGACAAAGGGAATGATGTTGTGGCTTCGTCTTTGCAAAGCTTATGCGATTCATATAAACAAAGTTTTATATTCTCATAAACTCAACACCATCGAGTAGAAGAACAACATAGGCATTCAAAAGCGTCTATATTTCTCCTATTTCTCATGGACTTCAACACAAAGTTGGAAAGTAGTTGATCTTTACTAATTAGTGTTGGGAAATTTTCGAAATTAAAATGGGTTTGTTATTTGGTAGTTTTCAAAACCTTCATTGTTTCCTTGTAGAGCTTTTTTTTAGCTTTGTGGCTTGTCCCACTTCAAAAACATGAGAGATAGATGTTGATTTAATAAAGAACTACAAGGAATATTCCCTTGATTAAGGATTTGTGGGAAGGGTGCTAATCTGTATGCTCACACACCGCAAGGATGGTGCGAAGCACCATTTGAACATGCGTGTAGGTAGTGGTTATGTGGTGTTTGATGGCGCACTACGTGCTTTGCACGAGGCACCATGGATATGTTTTCTTATTTGCTCTAGAAAGCTTGGTGGCAATGACATGGCGGGTTTGGAACGACCGCATGGTGATGATGTGGGATGGTCCATGTCAGCATATGATGGCATTGATGTGGAATACAATTGACACAACATGGCAATGTGATGGCCCAACCAATCGAATAGTTGCGTGTCGATCAAGATCGGTGTGATCATGGCCTTTGGTCATGTAGCTACATGATCGTATGGTACATATGGCATCCAATCACAATCAGGTGTGTCTTGCCGTTACACTTATTTAGGTAAGACAAGATTCAGATCATCAAGGCTCAATCCGACTATCAAATTTGATTAGGTATTATCAAGGATCATTATCCTTTCATTGGGGTGCTTCCACATGCCTATGATCAGTCCATTTCCATCATTCAATCCAACATCTAGATTTCAAAGACAAGTTTTGAAATCCTCACTCTCACTCTCACTCTCTCGCTCTCTCTCTCTCTCTCTCTCTCTCTCTCTCTCTCTCTCTCTCTCTCTCTCTCTCTCTCTATTTCAAATTTTTAATCAAGAGCTTTCTGTTTTCTAATATTTTATTACTCTACAAAAACAGAATATTAGACCTCGCTTCCCTAGCCTTTGTTTTATACAAAGGTATTTTGATTTGTCTTTGTTTGTGCAAACGTAGATTGAATATCCTTAAGATCATCTTCATTGTATCCTGATGAAAGATTGATGTTAACCTAGTGCACACCATCTGGTAGGGGCCAATACTATCTTTATGAAAGCAACATTCATAACCGTAAGGGGTTGGCCTGATGGTCAATGCCTAGGGCTTGGGGTGTATTCCCTTCAAGGTCTCAGGTTTGAAACCACTTACGTACAAATAATTTCTTAGCGGTGGGATTGGTCCCTCGAATTAGTCGGTCTTGTGTGCTAGAAACCAAGTTATCAAAAAGAAAAAGAAAAAGAAAAAGAAAAAAGGAAAGCATTCATAACGTGACTCAATGTCTATTATAGCAAATTATTTATTAGAAGTTCATCATCACATCGTCAACCTAGAGGATTTGTAACACTCTAAAGACAATATCTCGTGATCATGGCAATGTCGGTTATCAAAAAGAAAAAGAAAAAAGGAAAGCAACATCCATAATGCTACTCGATGTGTATTATAGCAAGTTATTTATTAGAAGTTCGTCATCACCATCGTCAACCCGGAGAATTTGTAACAACACTCTAGAGACAGTATCTCGTGATCATGGTGATGTCCTTGTAGAAGATGACACAAGACTTTGTCAAGCTTAGCCGCTTCAATAAAGAAAATTTCAAGCGCTGGTAGAAGAAGTTACGTTTCCTCTTGACAATGCTCAACGTGGTGTATGTGCTGAAGACATAATACCCTGAAGAAGAAGATGAGACAAACACTCAAACTTGCACCAGGACCAAGTCAGAAAATGAGTTACTTATGTAGGGGTCATATAACGAATGCTCTGTCCGACGCTTTGTTTAATGTGTATTAGCACGTGGAAACGAGAAAAGTCTTCAAACATGCCATAGATTACTCTTTTTGAGGTTTGAAAAAAAAAGCCCTAAATTAATGAAATAATGTTTTTCATGATTTCAAGATAGATATGACAATATTATATTCAGAGTTCACGAAGTCACATATTAAGAACTCTTTTAGAGATTTCAAGACAGGAATCCAACTCTAACTCAAAAAGAAGCTCAAGAAGGCATGGATCAACTAGATAGCTTAAGGTTTGGAAGAAATACAGACTAATCATTCTTCTTGAGAGGGTAATTTATGTAGATAAATTGGGCCGAGCTAAGTCTATCATTATTAGATGTTGGGCCACGCTATGGGCCGAGATGAGAGCGTGGATAGCCCGGTAACGTTACAAAAAGTTGCTTGGCCGATCAATGGGCCTTAAGATGGTTGTGTGCACCATTGGTGGACGGACCGGAATGGTGTGCTGCAGAAGGCCGTGACGGACCGGAATGGTGTGCTGCAGAAGGCCGTGCTAGGGTTATCTCGGCAAGGTGACTTATGGTGGTCAGTGATTGCACGGCCTAGTCAGAGTAGTTGCACCAGATAGCTTGGCTAGGCATAGTGGGCCGAGCAGGGTGATTAGCCATCTCACTTGGTTGGCAGTAAGTAGGGTGTTATCAGGATAGGCATTATCCTGTGGGAAAGTGATTCCTAGAAAGATTCTACTAAGTAGAGTTAGAGTCCTACTAGGGTTGCCACGTGGAATCTATAAGAGCTCATGATTATGCCTATTTCCATATATTGCAATTCTCATTCACGAATACACAGAGCTTATTATCTATTGTCTATTAGCAGACTTAGGCATCGGAGGAGTTTCCGACACACACCCGCAAGTTAGCTCACGCTTGTGTTTTCAGGTGATAAAGACAACAACGTTTGGAGAAGTGAAGACTTGATCAACAGGATTATACAAGACAGATTATTTCATGCTCGTACGCTTCCATAGATAAAATCATGTCATAAATTTTGAAATAACACCCTTGCATGCTTTCTAAGCAAGAGATAAGAAAATCCCTACCTTGAAATCAAGCTTTTTCAACAAAAGGAATGAGGAAATGAGGTAGGAAAGGTGAATGCTCCAAGAACAAGCCTTCTTCATCAACTTTGATATTTAAATCATCCTAAAAGCCACTTCCAAGTTTTCTAATCACTCCTTAATGTAAGGTTGTAGGCCTAAAAACAAAAAAACACTCACTTACTTTGACAAACAAAGATGAAGCCAAGGGCTTTGTGTGAGAATTCTAAAGAGGAAAGAAATTTAGAGAAAGAAGAGAGAGAGAGAGAGAGAGAGAGTCACAGTTTGGGGGAGGAAATGGCAGAAATGAGTGGTTCTTCCCCAATAACGCTAAAATAACCATAGACGAACCTTAGGTTAACCCTTAACCAAAGTTGTAACAAATGGCTAAGACTGAATCTTGAAAACCCTCAAATCCCCACTGTAGATTAAAAAAAATCAGATTTATGTGTATATGTATATCATATAACAAGGTGGTCAATTGGTCATGTGCCTACTTTTCCCAAATGGTGAAAGGAAAAGATGTAAGTAAACCTAAGTGTTTGTATGCATCATATGAGGTAAAGATGACTAATGGGAGGAAAAAGAGACAGAGGTTCAACTGGTCCTCTAGGATCTGTAAAAAAATTTATATTTGCTTAGTTCAAGGGCCTTGGGCTTTCCCCTAAAACCCTAGCTCAAAATTGTATAGTTTCCGACACAGAAAATGTACATTTTTTTTGTACTAGAATTCTAAGAAATTCATGGTCAACTAATAATAATAAGATATACATAAATAACACAAAAATAATAATTAGTAGCCCTAAAGAGTCCATCTTTCAAATCTCAACCCGGATTGGGCAATGATGTGCATGAAACGAGACAAATTGTGCACTAAAATTTTCAATTCACCAAAATGTCTTCCAGTTATTAAATAACACTACATTAACATATTAACATCTAATACCAGACTTCTATAGCCCCTCTCGGATCTCATGCCAGGTGAAGTCCCGGTACATGTATATTGAGACGGTTGCTGCACTTCCTTTCTTAACAAGCAATTAAATTATAATTTAACAATAACATCATGCTAACATTGTCTACAGGGGTTAGAGAGTCTGTCCCGGCTTTGCTTGAGAAACCAAACATGTGTATCAATGTGACCTAAAACACCAAAAATCCTTCAACAAAGTTCTAAATGAAGGCCTCGTTTGGGAATTGGCTATTTTAGTTAGTTTTTTTTTGGATATTTTAGTTAGTTTTTTTGGCTTTTTACGAAAAGACATGTAGAAAGTAGAGAGAGTGATGTGACAACTTATAGTGGCTTTTTAGCTAAAAACTACTCTTACCAAACATAGCCTAAATAGATAGGAAAACTCTATGGGTTTTATCATAATAGATCGATTCATGACAAAGAGTTGCCACTTAGTCTTTCTTGGGGAACTTAGAAACATGTTTGACTCTGAAACCAACATATAGACATTAATTCGTCATAACCAAAAATCTTGGCTCGGGAGTTTAGGTACGAAAGCGGAATGCCATTAATTGAGCACTCCTCTCACCCAATCAATTGATTGGCCACTACTAATCTTTTACTTTACGAAATTTTATGATTCAATTGATTCTCAAGAACTTAATCATTAACCCTAAATTCTTTACTAAACTATCAACTACTTGATTGAATAAACAAGATATTGCCTAACTTGAACTTGGACTCATGAATAAGACCATATAAGCTAATGATTTTCACAAACAAATATGATTTTCTTACATAAAAACATGGCTCAAACAGCATGGCTATTAACATGCTTCCAACTCAAGTAATATCACAAAACATCCAAAACAAATGATTGAAACACATAAAACACATGACTTGCATTATTGAAAAACAATGCATAAAGCAAGCAATATGCTATGAAGAAAAGGGATTCACCTAGTACTACTCACCACCATGCCAACTGTTAAAACCTATCACCTACTTCACCCACTTAAACCTACTCCACTAAACCTAACCCACTACACCACTACCACCTCCACTTCACCTACTCCTTACCTACTGCACACTCACCCTCTTCTATATATAGGAATCATGAATCATTGTAATATATATAACATCAATATAAATCAATCAATAATACAATTCTCTATTTCTCTTTATACATTAAATTTCTACACCAACAAAACATGCAACAATGTACAATGATCCTAAACATGGCAACTAAAACATGCGACATAAACCTATAACCCAGTTAGGTGACTAACATGATGAATATGCAACAAAAGTAACACTTAACACATAATAATCAAAACAATGCTAAACTATTACAATATGCATGATCTAACTGGGTTAATATGCATGGTTTACAACAACTCTACCATCTTAAAAACACAACCATAATCATGCAATCAAGCTAACAAAAACAAACAAAACCTAACTAACATGAAAATACATGATGTTATGCTCACATGTGGTCAACTAACCATTATCAAATATGAAAAACATGACTTAAAACATACCGAAATTAATAAAGACTAACAACACTACGTAAGGTTTGAATATCAAACCAAAGAACACAAGAAAAGGCAAGCAAACTTGCTTGAATTCATCCCTTGAGCTTCAATGGTGTTTTGACCAACTTTCTTTGAACTTCGATATACTTTTTGATGCTGATTTGTTGCTGTATTAGGGTTAGAAATCTTGGATTTGAGGCCAAGGGGAGCAACTCTGAAGCGTCAAGCTCACTCAACATTTGGGATCCTCAAAAGGTGAGGCAAGGGGGTGTATTTCTAGGCATGAGCCACTCTAGGGGCTAATTCTAAACATTCTAGGGTTGTCTCATCTCTTTCTTGCGGTGCCTCCCACTTAAATCGATCAGCAATCCCAAATGAACCACGAGACTGTTCCAGCTGAAGCAAGGTGCAGCCACATCTGGCCCCTTGTGTGGCCAAGAATGCAATGCGCAGTTGGGTGATGGTAAGTACGGGTAGACCTCCCAACTGTGGTCGTGTGTTGGTCAACCGATAGGCCCACGTGGTCCTAAGTCCACTATCAGGCTCCTGGGCTAATTTGTTGCCTAAGAAAGCCCAATTAACTTCCAAATGTCTTTTTTGATGACAGGTCGGCTGATATTTTTGGAAAAGCCCACTCCCTGTCTCTCCAAAAGAGGCCAAAAAAGTTAGGTTTTGGATAAAAATGGCTTCAAGGGTAAAATGGTCATTTTTGGAAAAAGATGGTTTTTGGATGTAAAAAGGGTGATACAACAGCTCACAACAACTCGAAGTGTTTCTAAAGTCAAAGTTCAACACTTTTATCATGGGGAAGCATTCAAGTGCCTAAGTCTTAATGGTCAGTCAAAATGGGATATCTACAATATCCATTTTCGTAACTCAGATTTTGAACCCTTAGATTTTTTTATGTTAATCTTACTTTCTTGCTCTAGGAACTAACACTATGATAATAGTGGTTGTGGATAATCACAAAACCTTCACGACCTAAGAATCACACACACAACCAATGAAAGTAGAAAGTAAATAGATCAAACAAATAAACACAAGCAATATACAATTATTTATGTGGTTCACCCTAAAACAAAGGCTATGTCCATGAAGTTGCTACGATTTCACTACGATCTTCAATGGAGGAATTACATGAGTCACTCTTCCCCAATCTCATGGACAAACTTTATTGATCTTCACCAAAATCTCATATAATAGAGTTAGAATTGATTTTTAGGTTATACTCTCCAAAGGCTTTCGCATCATAGCATGCGCCTTGGGTGAGCCTTGTATGCCTTTTGCGCATAATAAAGCATACAAGTTAGCATATGAAGAAGTTGCCCTAGGCTGTTAAACTTAATCTAGTAGATAGTTCGAACATAAATATGCAAAAACTAAAAAAGAACCCCTTTTGCAACAATATTCTATAAGACTAAATGATCAATCAAGGAAAAAAGAAAAGAAAAGAGAAGTTAAATGGATAACTGAGAAGCTCAATCACTAGAGGTAAAAATGTCAATTTCACTTTCATTGAAGGCAAGCTTCCTTCTCTACAATAAAATGTTAAATGGAAGTGTTAGGAGATGGGGTAGGCTTAGATTAACGTTGGCTAGCGTTGTAAATAGAGATATGGATCTACTTAATTTGACTAACGAAATGACCTTTGATAGACTTGCGTGGAGAAGGAGGATTCATGTAGCCGACCCCATTTGATAGGATTGAAGGCTTGGTTTGGTTTGGTTATTTATTTACTAATTTAAAATATTTATTTTATTTATTTAATATTAAAATTTAATATTTGAAATGCTTACACCTCAACGCCTTAAGGCCTACAACTTGCCTCGGAAGGGAAAAAACGTCTTGAGTTACACATTCACCTTTATAAAATTTGATGTACAGTACTAATTGTGAACAACTTAGAGCTACTAGGATTTCGAGTCCGACTGCAAAAGCCAAATGGGAAACTACTACTTACAAGATTTCTAGAAACAACTTACCTGCTTGAGCAAATCCCTCTTTAGCAATAACACCATTCCAACGGATAAAAGCAAAGATTTTGGCATTTGGCTATTAGAGTGGCATATGACCCACTCAAGTGGGTATTCCACAGTCTGCACGACCCCATCATCATCATCATGTTCTTCATGATGGAAATCAAATTGCTCATTCTTTGGCTAGAATGGCTTTTTTAACTTCACTTGAGAATTTGGATGGAAAATGTTATTTCTTCTCTCAGTTCTCTGGTTGAGTTGGAGGCTTGTGATGTTTTCTAATTTGGCCTCATGGGCTTCCCCTATCTAAAAAAAAAAAATAAAATTAAGTAATATTATTTTATGTTAGTTTTGACTTTTTGATACTCTTTTATTATATCTTAATATATTGCATTATGATATGAGTTATAAGGAAAAAAAAAAAAAAAAAAAAAAAAAAGTGGTCACAAATTACTTAGTTATCTGTTACGACTTCAATGTAAGCACCAAACAGCATATTTGCCGAATTATGTTTTTTATTGTAATCTTGTCTTCCAATAATGTTGTATAAATTGGTTCAAATGCTGTTGAAGATAAAAGATTTCTTCATTTCCATGGGATGTCTAAGTGGTCTATGTGCAATACATATGCTTAGTTTTGATAATGAACTTATTTATCTTTTTATTTTTATGGTCAGATATCTCAGGGGAAATATGCTCAACAATTCAGCGCTGGGATGGTTCACTAATATTTCAAATTCATTCGTGTACGTGTTTGTTACTAAAATTTGCATAGTGAAACTAAAATATGTTATGCTTCATTTATTTTTCTAATGTTTGATTGTGTTTCTTAAAGCATTGGTCTATTTTTGAATTAGTATGAAGCTACTATTCCAGGGACAGATCTAGAAGTTAATGATTGGGGGGCCAAAACAAGGGTTCAACAAATGCAAATGGTTGATAGATTTAAACGATTTAAATAGTTATTAAAATAAATAAATCACTATTAAAAATAAGTTAATAAATAATGAGAACACTCTAAATATGTTATAGGAATTAGGAACTTGAACTTCAATGATGCACCACTAAAAAAATATAAATCATATGTAATATTACATAATTCGCATACTACATGAATGATAATAGATTACAAATCACACTATCTAAAAGGTGCATACCTATATGCTCTTTTAAAACTATATCACAATGATTCATAATGAAACCATAATAGCTTACAACTTTTGTCAACACAATAGTTTGTAACATTTAAATGTCCATAACATAACCACAATGGGAAATAAAAATAATTAATTACTTTTTTAAATAAAAAAACCTTTGAGGGGCTCTGTGTATTGAATTATAACATATGAGTAAAAGAAAAACTTTGAGAACTCTAAAATGTCACTCCTAAATTTACTCCAAATGATGTGGACAGTTACATGTCAATTGTTGATTTGTGTAGAATTGAGCACCTATATAATTTACATAAATGCTACACTTTTTCTTATACACATAGCATTATGTGGAAGCTAGCAGGGACCAGGGCCCCCCACCCGCCCTCCTTCCTCCCCTGTACAATTCCATTGCCAAGTTGATTTTTTGAATTTATAATGAAGTTATCTTCAAAGTAGCTTGTTTAATTACAAGATGTGATTTAATGATGAATTCATCTAGACTAAAATGAAGCTCCAATCTGAATTAAATATTCATGTGTATATAATATATATCTATAAGCATACATGCAAACCTAGTGACATGTACATTAATCAAAATACTCAAATCAATATCATAAACTTATATTTAAAAGTCAATTTAAAGAAAAAAAAAAAAAACTAGATCTTGGAATAAACAATTTTGTCTACCGTTTAGGTTTATATAAGTAATCTCACCCATGAAGCATGGGTGCGGGTACGAGTACGGTACGGATATGAGTGCGGGTACGCCGATACGGAAAACCTCAAAAAAAGTATGATACGGGTATGGTTGCGGTACGCCGAAATAGATTTTTTTTTTTAATTTTTATTTTCATTTATAATTGTGGTTAAAAGATCCAACCTACAAATTAAAATTAAACATCAAAACTAAAAAGAGAACTACAAAATTAAAAGACAAATATATTTCGATTCAACAATGCCAACACCAAAGGAAAAACAAATATCAGCTCCAAGAAGAAATGATAGATTGTAAATATATTTCAATTCACTCATCAATTTACACAGATTAAGAAGAAATGACAGATTGTAAATTAATTGAGAGATTGTAAATTATGATAACTTGCATACGTATAAAAAAATACTCAATTGCACACACTCATCAATTATGATAATTGGAGAGATTGTATCAATTAATTGAGAGATTGTGTAATTGAAGAGGGTGTGATTTATTATACCAGCACAGTGTGATTTAAATTACACTCAAGAGAGGGTGTGATTTAAATTAATGACAGATCTGTGTATCAATTAATTGAGAGACTGCCCTTGTTTCAAGCAATTAATTGAAGAGATTGTCACTTGCACACACTCAATGACAGATTGTAAAAAAAATACTTTACTACATTTACACAGATCAATAATCTCATCCATCAAAATTGCTGATCTGCAATGGCAAAAAAAAAAAGAAAAGACAAAGAAACAGAGAGATGAGGAACTCTCACTGGAGGGAAGACGAAGAAAGGAACAGAGAAGAGGAAGAGCACTTCCTGATCTGCAGAAAAAAACGAAAAAGAAGAAGAAGAAGAAGAAGAAGAAGAAGAAGACGAAGACAAAGAAGAAGATGAAGAACACTCACTGGAGGGCTTCGTCTCGTTGTGTTGCTGTCTCCGTCGCTGTTGCCGGAGGGCTTCAAAGTGAAGAGATGTTGATGTTGTTGAAGAAGAAGAAGACGAAGAAGTTGACTGCGCGTTCTCTTTGCTATGGCTGAAGTGAAGAGATTCAAGGAAGGGACAAAACCTGGTGTATGTATATTCTTAATATTATAAAATAACACTGTATTTTTTGTTTTTTTTAATAAAGAACATAAATAAATTGCTCCGGTACCCCTAATTCTCTTACAAATTTTATTTTTTGTCCCGGCGTACCCGAAACGTACCAACAACGTACCCATGTCGTACCCACGAAGTATCCAATTGAACCAAACATACCGGACCCCCTTTTGCCGTACCCGGTACACGTGCAGCCGTACCCGTACCCGAACCCAGTAAGTACTCGGTACTCGCACGACACTATTTTTGGAGTACCTGTGCTTCATAGAATCTCACTTACCTAATGTAGTAATAATGTATAGTTGCTTCTTGATCAAATTTGTCTTTGCTTTCCTTTTTTTAACAATAGTTTTACCTAGGCATGTATGATTCACCATTCTCTTCTTAGAATTTATACAACAAATCAAGGCTTTGTTGATGATTTAAGACAATTAGAAACGATCAACTTTATTTTGATAATGTGGTTAACTATTTTTGTTTTGGGGATAATGAAATGAATTAATACAAATGGTTGAATGTTAACTGGAGCAAAATTACTTCATAACAGTTAGGTGCTTTGGCTCTATGTTTATGTCACACACCCTATTAGCAATAATATCATAGAACTTCATTAGACTAATGATTGTTGGATCCTAGCTACGAGATCAAAGATCTTAGAGAAACACGTTTTTCATTTTTGGGATTAAGATCCATTATAATAGAGGAAGTCTCAATTCTTAAGTTGTCTCACTGAGGTAGTGTTTATTTTCTACGTTAACATAGTATCGGAGCAGGTTTTGCTTAAAATCATGAAAATATATTTTTTATTCATTTCTTTTCGTTTTCTTTGTTTTGTCTTCTTCTCTTAAAAAAAATAAAAACCCTAGATTATGTTCATCCCTAGTTGTCGCTGTCAACCTAAGTTAGCTAACCTCATGTTGTCATTGCCTCACCGTCAACCCTAGTCGCCATCAACCCTAGTCAACCATGGCCTCATCGTCAGCCCTTGATCTCCATCATTGCCTCGTCCTTATCTAGACATTATAGTGACATCACCTCTGTTCAACTCAATGCAACATCTTCATTTGGTTGTCATCTAAGAAGTACATACACGGACACGGACATAGACATACAAATTTTCAAAAAAAGGGGGACACGATATGCTAGGGATATGCTTAACATATATAATTATATTTAACAAGCTCAGGCCATAGGTCCTTTTTATAGACTTTTTTTGTTTCGAGTCTATAAGGACATTATATGTTTATCAGTCCAAATTAACATTTTGTTTGGATTCACATATCTATCTAACCAAAACTACCAAACCCACCTTAGTGATTCTAGGCGACTCTCTCTCTCTCTCTCTCTCTCTCTCTCTCTCTCTCTCTCTCTCTCCATACTATGGTGCAATGTGTCACTCTAGGATCACACAACCACTATAATAGGCGGCGAGTTACGGTACCAGATCGGGCAAAACACCTACATCAAACTTGTACTCCATGCCCAAAACCACAGGACCTCTGCCCTGAATGGCGTCCTCCTCAACTGCTCCTTCGGTGGCGACGCCAATCCCGTCGTCGAGATTACCGACTCCGCCCCCCTCTTTCACTATCGGCCTTATCCCTCCCCTCGAGATCACTATAATTCAAGTATTTCTTCGTCTGTCTAGATTTTTTACTCTAGTGCTCTTATCATATGACTCATCATCTCTCCTTATTTCACAATTGTACTTCTCTTTCCTGTTATATTATTATTAATACTGTTAGTGGGTTTGGTATGTCTGTTATATTTGTTTGGTCTGTCCTACTGTTTGATAGGTCTGTTATTCCGTCTGTCTTTTATGTTCCTCAGTTATCTTCAGTTTATTATCTATCAGTCAGCTTGATGCCTCCGATTTTGATGTTATATTTTTTTCTTCTAGTAATTCTGTGCAGGATTGAATGTCCAAGTAACAGATTGGGATTAGCTATAGAGTTGGATACCTGTATGTGGTGGAGAGCTTGCATTTGCCTATGACTCTGGCTGTTTTTTTCTCTTTTCAGTTAGATTCTCTGTCGAGTCCTCTTTATTTGTCACATTCTAGATTATGACATTTATCTGTTGACTGTTTACAGTCTTTAGCTCGGTCAGGTTTATTGGGTAAGGTTTCTTTTAGTCAACTTACTGAATGTTGAGGGTGTAAACTTACCAAAACCACAACCTTACATTTACGTCAAAGTACTTGTATTTCTGATATACTATTTTCTTTAGTTTATATTGATGTCTGGGGCCCTTCTCCTCCTGCTCTCACCAAAGGGAGTTCTGCGTACTATGTGTCATTTGTTGATGGCTACACCTGTTACATTTGGGTTTATCTTATGATTCATAAGTCTGACTTCTACCAGATGTACTGTACCTTTCAGTCTATGATCACTATGGTCTGCTATTAAATTGTTATGGTCTAACTTTGGTGGGGAATATTTCAAAATTGAGTTCTATGAGTATTTGGCTAATTTGGGTACCATTCACCAAACTTTTTATACTCATACACCTGCCCAAAATGATTGAGTTGAGCGTAAACACCGTCACCTTCATCTCTTTGAGGCAACTAGGTCTCTTCCTTTCTCTACCTATGTTCTGGCTCCGATTTGGGGTGAGACAGTTCTTACTGCTATTTTTCTTCATAATCGTATGCCTACTCCCCTTCTATTTGGTCATTCTCCTTATGAGGCTTTGTTTTCTCAACTTTCCAATTATTCCCTCCTTCGTGTTTTTGGGTTTGCTTGTTTTTCCTTTCTCCCCTGTAAAGATAGGACCAAACTTAGTGCT